ACGTAAAAAGCCCATCTACACCTAAAATAGCAGATATATAACAAGAATAACTTTCAGAAATATGTTAGTTGTCAATGTAAACAGGTAGTAAAAGCATACGTATACATAGCACAAATGTACGCGCACACACACACACACACACCACACACACCACCACACACACACACACAACACACACACCACACACACACACACCACACACACACGACGACGCACCGCACGCAACGCACGCACATAAACACACCACGCACACACACACACACGCAGCACACAACAACACCACACACACACACTAAACACACCACACCACATCACACAAACACACACACACACACACACACACACATGTACCCCCCCCCATACACACACAAAGCGAAAGAGAGAGTGAGAGAGAGAGGGAAAGAGAGGAAGAGAGGGAGAGAGAAAGAGAGAGAAGTGCACGCATTCCACACACCGTTTAAATGTATAACTCGCGAAATGCCAATGCTAACAAATACAGCAAAGCTGCGTCATTATTTTCAACAACGTTGTATTTTTATTTAAGGTATAGCTCATCTAAATTAATTCACCTCATTCCTTAGTTTAAATTGAAAATCGAGCAAACTCGCAACTATTCCTAAAAAACAGATTCACAACCGAAATCCACTAATCCTATGCACCCAAGGAAACAAAACAAAACAACAAAGCGTTAGTATTAGCCGATATTACCGAAAACCGTTTATCGATTAGATTCTCACCACGAACTGATGTACAAAGAGCGATTCTTCACCCAACGGTTATAGATTCTGCGAACTTTAATCGAATATTTATCACCGCGTATGCACGCTTGTGCACGACTTACGGGTTTGTATAATATTATGTGCGGGGTAGACAGACACACGTGCAACAATACATGGAAGGCGGCAACGCTGTAGTCCAGTTCTAGTACAAACACCAAGGTTGTGGTGCTATTAGCACTTTGTTCTATCGTAACTTTGACAAGTTCCAGCCGCGCGTCACCAAGAGACTGGGTCTTGCTCTCCGTCACCGTCTGTTGGCGCTACCTAGCGGGTCGACACTGCCGGTCGTTTCGCTTGAGTCATTGTTTCATGTTACTGTGTCGCGCGGAAGTGGTGTCCCGCGTGTGCGAGTGAGATGTCACTGCGATGTGTCAGTGCGTGGCGTGGTCTAATTCATGCGCAGTGTTTCTTTTATCGTGCTGCGGCGTTGCCTCAGGTAGGGTTTCCACAGCCCCATCATAGCTTTCACTAGCTGCGTGTTGGGCGGGATTTGCGGTCTATCGTAGCTGGACGCTGCTGCCACCTCGCGTCGATTAAGTCTGAAAAGTTTCGTTATGTTACAATGATTTCTAACGAAGAAATGGATTATTGTTCTGAGTAAACAGTTACGTCTCACCAATCGAGTATTTTCGACTTGGTATGCTATGATATCGTGCATATTGTTATACAAGTCAGTGAAACGTTGGGAAATGTCATATATACACAATAGTTTGTTCTAGAAATATTTAAAATTCACCGTGTCATATTTCAAAGTACAGATGTAACTATTTCTTGTCTATCAATTTTCTTTTTCTATTTGTGTTACTTGTACACTGGAAAAATCAGTCCCGATATAAATAGTGACCCTAATATGTCTAAAGGGAGTAGAGGAGTGCGACAATTACATGTTTAGTGAATAACGGTAGGGAACGTTAACGTTAGTGGGTTAGTGAAGCACGCACGCACGCACATTGCACACAACCACCTCACACACATGCGCGTACACACATAATAACACACGCGCGGATGTGCACACAACACACACGCGCGCGCAGGTGCGTGCTCAAATTAGAAAGAGTGCAAAATTATTTTTTCACTTATTAAAGATGATAATTCGATACTAGCAACTTCAAAATTAAAAATATTAATCGCGGTTTTATAAGTGCGTGAGAGGAAAGAAATTGAGAGAAGCAATCTGACGAGATTGAATAGGAGGATGAGAGGAAGACGAGGTAAGTAAGGGAAGGAAAGGGAAAGAGAGCGAGTAAATGTAAGCAAAGTGATGAAGAAAGATAGAGAGAAGATGTCTCCGGTCAACTGTACTTATTACTATAACTAGTAAAATAGATCAAAGTACCAGGACTAGCTGATCATTATTATACCTGTCAAAATATTCGAATGCTGCGTTATCAAGTTCACTGTAGATGGCGCTGCCAGGTGACTTGAGATCACGCGTAACTAAGCCGTAGAGTTTATCGTTCGTGTTCGTGTTCGCGTTGTACCTACACGAAGAAAACAACTAATTAGGCCAAATTAATTAATTAAATGGGACTGGATGACACATGACCCGCTACAGGCTCATCGGTTATGCGGCGTCAAGCATCTGCACACAATCGACAGTTTTCGCATATAGAGATCAATGGTATCAGGACTAGATAATAGGGAATTCCCTATTATCTACTCCTGATGGTATACAACAAAATAATTTTTTTAATAAGTTTTATTTTACTATCATTGATATTATTTGAAAGGGGCCACTTATTTTTGAGATGCGGTATTAGACCATTTTAATAATTTGAAAACCAGATACCAGATAAATTTTTAATGATTCGGGAAGAGAAGTCAACCTGATATGGGAATTATTATTTTATTTTAAAAGTAGGAACTGATTTTTTTTTTTCTTGGATACTGGAAATGCCCCCATTCCCTCTTTTCATGTGCTTTCAATTCACATTTATCTGCAAGAGACACGATTTTCGTCACAATCAATATATTTAACACTCCCGACAGTTTTCGCATACACAAAGAAGTAAACAATATAAATACAAATTCTGTTCACGATCGTTGATATTATGTGCTTTCACTTTACATTTCCCTGGAAGCGACACGATTTTCATTCCATACGCTAAGTGTATTATTGTCTTCCAGGCAAAAGCCAGCGCCTCGTGGCTGTTGCAAATATATATATCACCGCCCTAATAACTCGGCGAGGGATCAATACGCGATGAATAAGTAAGGGGTCGAATGTGCGCGGTCGTAGATAACGATCACAGTTCTACGTCTCGCACGCCAGATGTCATTTCCCTGCGCGTATGACAACAGCCATCTGCGATACCTCGCACGTATTTCGCAAAGCATGCAAAGTGACGATGGGGGGGGGCTGAAGTGAGAATATAAATCTCCCGCCCATCGCGAGTTCAGAACCAACTAGAGGGCTGTCTTCGCTGCAAGAGCGAACACTGTATTTGGCAATACGGGCAGCCGATAAGATTGGTGGAATCACAATAACAATACATTCTCACCGTACCAGGCACCTCTCGACACGACTGTACTCGTTAACTCGACTCGATTCGACTCTACTCAGAATAACTCTGCTGAGTCTGCTCTCCGAGCAACCAACAACGTCGCTTTTTTCTATCCGTAATCAGTTAGCCCCGTACGTGACCGAAAAAACACGTCATAACACGCCCGTGTGCACAGTTTCACACCCCCCCCCCCTCTGTTGGTAGCAGGCGATGGTTATTGATCGATAGGTGGCAGCACTGTACAGTCACACTGTCCAGGCTGAAATATGCAACAATGCACAGGCATTGTTTCAGTTATCCTTTATTACAATGCACACTGCACTTCCTTTAATTTTAAAGGGAGAGTTTACTCTAGGTTCTAGGGTTATTTTCAGCTAATTTAGGTTATAATTACGCTACATAAAACGTTTCATGGTTCAATCACCATTAGAAATATTATTAAAAAATGTTTTAAAACTAACGACTACAGTTTGATTACAACGACGGTGGCGCCACTCAAAGCGCACGATCTGATAAGTTGCACAAAACCACTTTCCAGTCAAGGGCTACAGACCGAGGGTGTTTCTTATTTATTTATTTAAAAGCAAAAGGATTGTAATATCTTATAAACGACATATAGTTTCAGTTAAATAGCATTTAGGTATAAATATAATTGCACTTTTGTGATTACCTCGGTCTGTAACCTGCAAAATAAATTGTCAAATACGCAACTTTTTCGGGGTGGCAGCACGGTCGCGGGTGTCATGGCGCCGTTCAAATTTCGTAGCGTTGATGTGTAAATAATTATAACAATTAAATTAGGTATCTGGTAACAAATACCAAAGTTAATACCATAGTTAAGGAGGAGATGCATGTCTAAGAAATTTGTGGAAAAAGAATAATAATAATAAATAATAATAATAATAAAAAGAAGAATTCGTGGAATAACAATATGTTGGCCAACATTGCCAAATACAATTAAATGCATTCACACCGGAATCGACCTGTATTATGTAAGACGCATTGAAAATGCACATCACGATAACAGTTGACCAATACTACTATTGGTATACTAGTACTAATATTAATACTAGTACTAATACTAGTAGTAGTATTGTAGTAGAGTAGTAGTGGTATAGTAGTATAGTAGTATAGTAGTATAGTACTAGTATTTATAGTACTAGTACTAGTATGGCTGTACTAATGTGCTTGTTTTTATGGCGTGGGGTATAGAGATCGGGCGTGCGTAGTTTAGTGTAGCGAATATATGATCCGTCATAAACGATAAAAGATTTATGCGTGCACTGACGTCTGTCAACAACGCCCCGCATAGATTCAAAGCTTCATAGCTTTCAAGCGCGCGCGTACACAAATATGGAAAGCGCCATATAATCATTCGAATATTCTCAAATGCACCCGTGTACCATTGTCGTGTTTGCGCAACGCGCTGATGGACGATAGACGGTGAAAAGAAACCCGACGCGTGAGAGGTCACGGCCGATTCTCATCGCGAGCGATGTGACGAACGTCGTTGAAATTCCTATACGACTTCGGACGCGCGACTACAAACGCTTTCACATTTTCGATTAATAACAAGAGGCGCGATCTCGGCTCACTCGTCACTTTGCATCAGCCACGATGACGCATGCAGTTCGAAACGAACAAACGAAAGTGATCTCGCCGGTAAAAATTTGCAAAAATTTTCAAATCGGATGTAATCGGTTCCCGATCGGCTCAGCGAACCCCTAGCGGCGACCCCGCGTACTAGCTTACGTCACATCACACCAGTGCCTTGTCGTCGAGAGTTACAGACGCTACTGGTGACCCCGGATCTCTGGTATAGAACTGATTTAATAATCGCAGGACTGCGTGGTTGACGCTCGTAAGGAACTGTGAGTATTGCCTGCAACAACGCACGTACTGGGAATCTGTGCGTTGACGCAAGTTGTCGGATGGATGTCACTAAAACGCATTAGATTCGTACCAATCTTTTCTATAACTTGCTTGAAGTCCATCGAGCTGTTCTAGTAGGTGCTGATGTATATATGTAATCTCTGCGCGGGTAGGTGGGTGCATGTGCCTGCGCATGTGTGCGCGTGCATGTGTGTGTATGCGTGCGTGCGTGTATTCTTCGTAGATGCGTCTAAATTAATCTCGCTCTTTTTACGGCCGTTTCCATTCTCAATAGCTAAGCTATTGATCATGAGCTCCTAGCTCGGAGAGCAAATTTGTTACTGACTTCGCGCATTGCGTTGCAATCAGTACTTATTTGCCATAATCTCTTATTTTCCACGTAATATCTGTATGCGCGACTTGTAATCCGCGTGAGCGCACTGTCATGCTCGCACTGTTATAGCTCTTGCTGTTATCTCTATTCGTATAGGGTGCTCGCGCGCGTTGGAAAACGAGGCAGCATAGGCTAACGCAATCTCTGCGGGGAACAACGCTTCTCTAACGATCCCAGTCTCTCGTCTCCCAGAATGCACAGCGTGATGATAATCCCGTTACCGGCAGTTATCGTCATCGTCGCCGCCGTCACCGCCGTCGCTTCCGGCGCGCAGTGGACACCGGCGCCGGACGACGGCGCGCAGAGCATGCAGACGATTCACGTCAACTGCGACTGCGACAAGACGGGACCCTGTCCCGCCGCCGCTCCACCGCAATCGTCAACGTCGTCGTCATCGCCACCGCCGCGATGCCCGGACGAGTTCATCTCGGTGAACAACAGCTGCTATCGCTTCCACTCGCTGCCGACGACGTGGCGCGTCGCGCGCGACGTCTGCCACTATTACGGCGCCGAGCTGGCCGCCGTGGAAACCCGCGAGGAGAACGCCTTCCTACACTCGCGTTTCTACGAGGAGTTCGTGCGCAAGCGCGAGTACGACACGAGCACCGACGCGCACTACTTCTGGGTGGGCGGCACCGACGAGCGACACGAGGGCTACTGGGCGTGGGCGGGCAGCGGGGAGCCGATCCATTTCGAGCTCTGGGCGAGCGACCAGCCGGCGGCGGGCAGCCGCGATCAGAACTACCTCTGCATCGACCTGTGGACGGGACTGTGGCACGATCACCTCAACACGCGACCGCTGGGCTATGTGTGCGAAATGGCCGCTACCCTGCCGCCGCTGTAGCGTGGTAAACGCTCCCCCCATGGGAAAACGCCCCCGTGTACATTGCGCATGGGCATAGGCATGTCTAGCAAGGCGCGTCGTAGTTATGACTCGGAAGTAACCTTTGCACATGCGCAATGTAAGGAGGGGCGTTTGTCACGGTGGGATGTATACCATGCTACACCGCCTCCGTCATAACGTGGCGGGCGGTTCGTATCAGTTCGAATTCTCGTATTCGCGATCATGTCGATTCGGATGTCTTCTCTGTATTTACGCTTGCGAATGTAAGGTATTCTGCTCTCGTCGTTCGTCGTGTATGTAGCCTCGATGCGTTTGCACAGTAAGTACGTGTAGAATACAACACAGGTAGACGCGGTTTGCGCTACGGGCTGGTTAATGCAACAGGTTTGATGCGATCGCGTGCGCGTGAATTTCGCTTCGCTCAGACGCTCGTTACGTCGATGCAAATATTTGCACTAAATACGCTACCCTTGTGACGTCACGATATTAAAACATCTGGCTGCGGTGTATCTTGTTTACAGATGGCAGCACTGCATCGGCGAGTAATGTTAGCAGCGATGGCAAATACATCTTACTGAAGTTCGATTACTTCACCGCCGTATTTCTATGACACGTGTGCTATTTGTTCGCAGCATACTTTTTGTCAACCAACCTCATTTTTAAGCTAGCCTGGTTTATTTACCCTGCTAGCTTCTTTACGCAGCTAGATTCTCAGGTTCACGATGTGAACCCGCTTACCAAAATGGAGTCGAGATAAGTACCGCTTAGCAATGTTTAGTAGCAAAACGGATCGCTTTTAGATTACGCGCAAGTATTTCATTTTCGTTTATTTGTTTGCATCGTTTTTTGATCACTTTTCGTTTATTGATTACTATTTTTGAAGCTGCAGTCCGCATGTTTTACAGATCGTAGAAATAACGTTTAAAAATCGGTGGATATTCATGGTGGTGGTTAATTATAGCATTGGATTTCCTGTCCATATTTTATGTATTTCTGCTGGAAATAAAGGAAATGCGCGGTCTTTAAATTCATCAAATTAATATTGTATGATTTCAACCACACACACACACACACACACGCACGCGCACGCGCACGCGCACGCGCACG